TCTCTAGTGAATTTGGGCCTAACCTTGCTCATTTATAAATGTCCAGCTGCTGGAAAATTTTACTCTGCTTATCCAAAACCGCCCCTTATTGGCCCTTTCTAAGCCTCTGGCCATACAGAACATTATGGGGTTTATTTTTTATTCTCCTGGGTGAATGAGGACATCAATTTTCCGGGAACGCAAATCTGAAACCCGGAAAATTTTACCTCGGACCCTTGGGTAGATTGGCCTTCACTTCCTGTCCCAGAGAGACAACAGGAAGTGATAAGAAACCTGAGGGACGTAAGGGATACCGTAATATTTCCTATTTTTGGTGGCAACTGTTAAAATGTTTGGGTTTCCCATCGCTTTTCAGTCCCCGGGGGAAAACGTTCGGTACGATCAGGATCAATCTTCCTGAGGAGACCGAACCCGACGCGTGGTCTTTTCTTTCCGCGCTCCAACCCGAAATGAAGAACGTTTTGGTTGCAGGTACATTTTAGGCCCCTCCCTCCCCCCCCCAAAAAAAAGTCACATATATTGAGATACATTTTTCCAAAATTGAAAATGATGATCTGACATCGAGGTTAGAAATGTTTCGGCGGTGTCAGTACATCGTATTTATATACATCCCTGGCGTGGTGAAAGACGTCACGGTGACTATGGAGGACGAGGACGGACATGACGGGGGGAGGGGTTACTGGGTGTATATATATCATAATATCTTATTACCTCCTCTGCTGCCAGTTCCAGCAATGTCTCCTCTCTACTTCCTCCAAAATCACCTCACAGCTATGACTTCCTATTTATAGCTGACATCACTTCCTGTCCGCTTTCCATAGAGACTTCCTGTCTGGGTACAGGTGAGTTCGCCACCTGGTGGAGCTCAGAGGAACCGAGAGACCTCTCGTAGTGTGAACACGGCCTTGTGCTCTGTGTATCCTTATAGACGGGTCATCTCCATCCCACCGTTTGGGACAGAAATATAGGACTGATAGGGATCAGTGGAGGGATTTTTTTTTTTATTCCTCTGAGCTCCACAAGGCGGCGATCTCACCTAGACGAGACAAAAGTCTCTATGATAATTGGACAGGAAGTGATGTCACGTATAAACAGGAAGTTCTAGCTCTGAGGTGATTTTTGGAGGAAGTAGAGAGGAGACATTGCTGGAACTGACAGCAGAGGAGGTAATAAGATATTATTTTAGATTTACCCCCAGTAACTACCCCTCCCGTTGTGTCCTCTTCTATCACCAGAACAAATTTAACACTTCGGGGGCGGAACCTTTAATTTTCTAATTTTGGAGACGTCGGTTCTGCGACAAATTCCTTCTCAATTCTGTATACTGATGTATTATCGGGGGAGGGGAGGGTTGTATCAGGAGACGATGGTCCTTTTTGAGGTGTATCTAAAGCCCAAATTTGTGCTTCGGGACATTGTCAGGTCTGTCCCCGTGAGGAAGAGTCACCCTCTATACGTCCTGGTTCCTGATGTATCTGGGACTACCTCCGGCCACCGAAGAGGAAATCTTCCGATGAGGACGCCTGGTACGGTGACAACCGTCTACCGGGGTATTTCCTCCCGAGTCCACCAAGGTCACATCAGCGCAATCCTTACGTGGCAGTCCTAAACCCGAGATGAAGAATCCGATCCATCGCAGTTGACCCGTCCTGAGGTGTGGCGGCTGCATTCCTTTTCTTTTTTTCCTTTATTTTCCTTTATTTTCACCTGGTGATCCTGCCGGGAACGCACTTCCTGTCCCTCGGGTGACCACGCTCACTCACCGTAGGACCAGTGTTGTCACCCGTGGATAGGACACCCCCTCCCCCTGTACAACACAGGTATAGCCGGGAGCAATGTAACTGAGGGTCTGCGGGCACTATGCTGGGAAGAGGAGGGATCGTCCACGTTCTGACGCCGGGGGCATTTTGGTCTGACCGCTGAGGCCAAGGTTCGTTTTCTGACCACTGGTGTCAGACCATTCTTACACTGACACTAAGGCCCGGGCATATTTTCCTCTGACTAACACTCCTCACCATTTTTGCTCCCTACTGACCATTAACACCGGGACATATTTTCCTCCTTACTACGGATGTAGAATTTTTTGCTTACTTTTTGTATTTTTTGAGAATTCTGTGGCCAGCATTGGGCTGTACTCGGCCTATCTGTCCCTCCAACGGGAATGTTCCTCTAAGCTCAGTGTGTATTTCCTCCGGTACGTTGTTAGAGTTTGCTCCAGCGGGGAGTGCTAGAGAGGTATCATCCCATGTTCTGGGTGTTTGATATCCTGGCCGATCTGTGGACCTGAGGAACCTGCTGACGAAGGCTGGAGAACTGTTAAGTATCTGAGATACTTCCTGTCCCGTTTTGTCTCTTCCTTGACGGGCTATTTCCCTGTGAGGATTTCCACTTAGTCTTTCTTCATAGGCCTAGAAATGGAAGGAAGCAGGGATCTCCCTTCCTCCCATCTCTGGGCCTAAGGCCTATGAAGAAAGACTAGGTGGAAATCTGGGAGGAAACCCAAGGATGTTGGCTGATAGAGGAAGGAGTGTAAGGACTTGAGGAAACAAGCTGGGACTGGCCCCTCGCATATGAAGATGTGGTGGGTGATGGTTGAGTAGGAAGTATGCCGAGGAACCTTCCTATGTTATCCTTCCTTGGAGGATAAAGATGGAGATACCAGTAGACCATCCATGGCCAAGGAGCCAGAGCTCTGTAAGGGTCCAGCCAGCACAGTCCATGAACAGAGGGAACCAAGAGAGACTTTGAGAAAGATCTAGAAGAGGTTGAGGCAAAGCTTGATGTTTGAGATCTTCTGTATTTAGGGATATCCCGATCCAGATCCGACCCTCCTCCCCCATATCACCGCGGGCAACCTGATTTGTATCTAAAAACTAAGATTGAATGTGTAACAAGAGACCGCAGAGCCCACTGGCATCACGTAGGACCAAATGTGTTAAAACATAAGACACACTTTGGGTGGACATGCCGAGTGACTCCATGCTGATTCCCCGCTATCCATCTACTTAGATCACATGACCACATCAGTGAGGATGGAGGAGGACCAGAGTCATATGACCGAGAGGATACTGAACCTCACCCTGGAGATCATCTACCTGCTGACCGGAGAGGTGAGGAGGATTCTGGGAGGTCACATGACCTGACCGGAGAGGTGAGGAGGATTCTGGGAATCTAACATGATGTTCCTATTGGTTTCTCCATCCAGAGTTTTCCTCTTCTGAAGTCTGGTGATCATGTGACCATCACAGCGCCCCCATGTGACTCCCTAAAACCCGAGAGACCCAACATGGAGAAGATTCTAGAAGTCACCAAGAAGATGATGGAGCTGCTGACGGGAGAGGTGAGCGGTGCCGGGAATTCTGGGACATGATCCAGGAACAGACAAGGGGCGTGTCTGGGTGGTGACGGGAGAGGTGAGCGGTGCCGGGGATTCTGGGACATGATCCAGGAACAGACAAGGGGCGTGTCTGGGTGGTGACGGTATCATTGTGTGTGTCAGGTTCCTATAAGGTGTCAGGATGTCTCTGTCTATCTCTCCATGGAGGAGTGGGAGTATCTAGAAGGACACCGGGATCTCTACAAGGACGTGGTGATGGAGAATGCCCCGCCCCTCACATCACCGGGTAAGAGGAGAGAGCAGTACGGAGGCTCCGCCTACATCCCCCATCATCTGATACACACATAGAAACAATGTATTCAGTCAGTGTGTGTGTTTCCTACAGATGGATCCAGTAAGAGGAACCCACCAGAGAGATGTCCCCGCCCCCTGTATTCCCGGGACTCCACCCAGGAAGATCTCACCCTCCCCCACCATGAGAGATGTCCCCGCCCTCTGTATTCCCGGGACTCCACCCAGGAAGATCTCACCCTCCCCCACCATGATCAGGTAGATGATGCACAATCACTGATAGTTATAATTTATACACAATCATATTTGTTATAATGTTTTCTTATATTTTTAGAATGCAAACCTTGAGGATTTTAATATTGTTATTAAAGAAGAGTATAAAGAGGAGGATGAGGAGTACGGGGTGATGGAGGAGCTTTTAGATGGACACATGGAGCCACCTAATAACAGGAACCCACCAGAGAGATGTCCCCGCCCCCTGTATTCCTGGGATCCCACCCAGGAAGATCTCACCATCCCCCACCATGAGAGATGTCCCCGCCCTCTGTATTCCCGGGATCCCACCCAGGAAGATCTCACCATCCCCCACCATGATCAGGTGGGTGGAGTTGAGGGGCGGGAACATAAAGTGATGGAACGCTCTGACATGTGGAGATGACGTGTGGACTCTACAAGATGAGATCTTCTATGTGATGTCACATCATAAATACTTCTATGTCACAGATGAGACTTTCTGCCGTTCTGTTGGTTTAGGGTGAAGATCTGATGAAGATGAAAGTTGAGGGTGAAGTAGAAGAGACGTATGTGAGGGATGATCAGCGATATACGGAGGAGGCCGGAGTGATGAGGACGTCCATAGAGGAGGACACGCCTACAGAGATCACCACAGGTGAGTCATATTATATACTTCTGTTATCCGGGGGAGGGGCTGCCAGTCTATACTCTGATCTTCTTGTTTCTCAGAGGTCACATGACCCAGTGCCTAGGCTTGTGGTTGGGTGAAAAGCATGCTCCTCCCAGTCCCCATTGGCTCCCCCTCTTCTGACAAGGTTGTGTCAATGTATAAGTGATCTGTAGGGAGGACCTTTGACTGAAGAGGGGAGGAGCCCCAGCTGGTTGGGACCTCTTCATAGAACATCCGCTCCCTCAGACCTCCTGATCCAGATGGAATGTTGAGTGAAGAGGGGAGGAGTCCTGGCTGGTTGGGACCTCCTCATAGAACATGTGCTCCCTCAGACCTCCTGATCCAGATGGAATGTTGAGTGAAGTCATCTAACCCTCTCATATCTCTCCATCATGTGTTTCTATGTTTCCAGGACACGACATGGAGGAACCCTCAAAGGATCGTCTGACTTTATCTCCAGGTTGTAAGATGGAAGATGAGGACATCACAGCAGATTGTGCGGGAGAAGAGACAATGAGCTCAGCTATGGATGGTGGACCTCACAGTGTGGAGAGACCATGCAATCCCTCTGACTCTGAGCAACCTCGTCCTGTGGGGGATGGGGCCGGAATTCAGGGGGAGAAGACATTTTCCTGTCCTGAGTGTGGAGAAAGTTTTCTACGGAAGTATCACCTTAATGTACATCAGAGATCTCACACGGGTGAGGAGCTTCATCCCTGTCTTGAGTGTGGGAAAAGTTTTCTTTATAAATCCGAACTGATCTCACATGAGAGATCTCACACGGGGGAAAAGCCGTATTCTTGTCCTGAATGCGGGAAATGTTTTTCACAAAAGTCAAAACTTTCTGCACATCAGAGATGGCACACGGCAGAGCTGCTCTATTCCTGTCTTGAGTGTGGGAAACGTTTTTCATGTAAATCTAATCTCACTGTGCATCAAATGTCACACACAGGGGAAGGTATGTATTCCTGCCCTGAATGCGGGAAACGTTTTACACGTATGTCTCACCTTGCTGTGCATGAGAGGTCCCATACAGGTGAGAAGCCATATTCCTGCTCCGAGTGTGGAAAAAGTTATGTAATGAAGTCAGATCTTGTTAAACATCAGATATCTCACACAGGGGCCAGGCTGTATGCCTGTTCTGAGTGCGGGAAATGTTTTATACGCAAGTCTCATCTCGCTGATCATCAGAAATCTCATACAGGGGACAAGCCATATGCCTGCTCCGAGTGTGGGAAACGTTTCATACGCAATTCTCATCTCACTGTGCATAAAAGGTTTCACACCGGGGAAAAGCCATATTCCTGCTCTGAGTGCGGAAAAAGCTATATATGCAAGTCTCATCTGACTGATCATCAGCGGTCTCACACAGGGGACAGGCCACATTCTTGCTCTGAGTGCGGGAAACGCTTTATTAAAAAATCAGACCTCGCTGTGCATCAGAGGTCTCACTCTGGGGAGAAGCCATATTCCTGCTCTGCGTGTGGGAAAAGTTATAAACACAAACCACAACTCGTCAAACATGAAAGATCCCACACAGGGAGAAGCCATATTCCTTTCCTGAGTGCGGGAAATGACTTCCCAATAAGTCCAGGGTCTCTGTACATCTGATATTTCACGCAGGCGAGAAGCCAGATTTCTTCCCTAAAGGCGGGTACGGTTCCACAACCTTACAATGGAGATCCCACACAGGTAAGTAGCTGGAGAGTCCCCTGCTGGATGAAGGTGGAAAATAGGACTTTTTTAGATGGAACATTTCAGATTTTCCTGATAAAAATGGAAATATATAATAATTATGTTTTATGAAAATATATATTTAAAATGCTATATTCTTTGTAAGTTAATTGATTAAATTCTGAATTTGTATTATTGCATTGTCTTTGTTCTTCTTCTCAGTTTCTTATAGGTTAGGAAACTGAATGAGAGAAGGTTCAGAGATGGGCAACACAATTAATAAGGGGGGTGGAGGACCTGACTTATGGAAGACCTGAGTTATTGAGGACCTGATTTATGTAGGTCCTGGGTTATGGAGAACCTCAATTATAGAGGGCCTGGTTTATGGAGGACAAGATTTATGGAGGGCGTAGGTTATGGAGAACCTCAATTATAGAGGGCCTGTGTTATGGAGGGCAAGATTTATGGAGGGGGTGGGTTGTGGAGAGCCTGGGTTAAGGAGGACCTGAGTTATGGAAGACCTGAGTTATGGAAGGCCTGAGTTATGAAGGGCTTGGGTTATGGAGAACCTCATCTATAGAGAGCCTGAGTTATGGAGGGCCTGGGTTATGGAGACCCTAAATTATAGAGGGCCTGGGTTATGGAAGACCTGAGTTATGGAGGGCCTGGGTTATGGAGACCCTAAATTATAGAGGGCCTGGGTTATGGAAGACCTGAGTTATAGAGGGCCTCAGTTATGGAGTACCTCAATTATAGAGAGCATGATTTATGGAAGACCTGATTTATGGAAGGCCTGAGTTATGGTGGGCCTGGGTTATGGAGACCCTAAATTATAGAGGGCCTGGGTTATGGAAGACCTGATTTTTTGGAGGGACAGATTTATGGAAGGCCTGGGTTATGGAGAACCTTAATTATAGAGGGCCTGGGTTAAGGAGGACCTGATTTATGGAAGACCTGGGTTATGGAAAGGCTGAGTTATGAAAGATCTGGGTTAAGAAGATTGATTACAAATATTGAACTTGTTATCCTTAAAGAAAAGACACCTAAGATATGATCCCAACTAGATTAATAAGGGGGATGGAAACCAGAGTTGTGGAGGGCCTGATTTTAGGGAGTACCTGGGTTATGGAGAGCCTGGGTTAAGGAGGACCTGAGTATTGCAGAACCTGAGTTAAGAAGATTGACTACAAATATTTAACTTGTTCTCCCTAAAGAAGAGACACCTAAGAGGGGATATGATCCCAATTAAATTAACAAGGGGGAATTGAGGGCCTGAGTTATGGAGGACCTGGGTTACAGAGGGCCTGAGTTAGGGAGGGCCTGAATTATAAGGGATGTAAGTTATGGAGACCCTGCGTTATGCAGGACCTAAGGTACGGAGGGCCTGGGTTATGGAGGACCTGAGTTATAGAGAGCCAACTTTATAGAGGGCCTAGGTTATTGGGGGGGCCTGAATTATGGAGGACTTAAGCTTTAGGTGGCTTGAGTTATGAAGGACCTGATTTAGGGAGGGCCTGCGTCATGGGGGGCCTGGGTTATGGAGAACCTCAATAATAGAGGGCCTGGGTTATGGAGGCCTAGGTTATGGAGAGCCTGGATTGTGGAAAGCATGGGTTATGGAAGACCTGAGTTATGGAATGGCTGAGTTATGGAAGACCTGGGGTATGGAGGGCTGGGTTAAGGAAAGGCTGAGTTATGCAGAACCTGAGTTAAGAGGGTCGACTACAAATATTAAACTTGTTATCCTTAAAGAAAAGACACCTAAGATATGATCCCAATTAAATTATTAAGTGGGGATGGATGGCCTGAGTTTTGGGGGTCCTGGGTTATGAAGAACCTGATTTATGGAGGGCCTGAGTTATACAGAACCTGCGTTTAAGAAGATCGGTTAAGAATATTAGACTTGTTCTCCTTACAGAAGAGAAACCTGAAAGGGGATATGATCCCAAGTAAATTATAATAAGGGGGATGGAGGACCTGGGTTACAGAGGGTCATGCGTTATGAAGGGTCTGTGTTACAGGGACCTACCTTATGGAGGAACTGAGTTATGAAGAGCCAGAGTAATGGAGAGCCAAAGTTATAGAGGACATAAGTTATGGAGGATCTGCGTTATGGAATGCTTAAGCTATAGGTGGCTTGAGCTATGAAGGACCTGATTTATCGAGGTCCTGAGTCATGAGGGGCCTGGGTTATGGAAAACCTCAATAGTAGAGGGCCTGGGTTATGGATAGACCTGAGTTATGGTGGACCTGAGTTATGGAGGACCTGAGTTATGGTGGACCTGAGTTATGGAGGACCTGAGTTATGGAGGACCTGAGTTATGGTGGACCTGAGTTATGGAGGACCTGAGTTATGGAGGACCTGAGTTATGGAGGACCTGAATTATGGTGGGCCTGGGTTTATGAGGGCCTGAGTTAAGCTGCAGTTTCTCTAAGCTCCACAAGGTGGTGATCTCACCTATACCCAGACAGGAAGTCTCTATGACGCCTACAGACAGGACGTTTCCATGGAGAAGGGACAGGAAGTGATGGATAGTACAGACAGGAAGTGTCTATGAAACCCACAGACAGGCAATCTCTATGGGAACAACAGACAGACTACAGAATATAGACAGGAAGTGATGTGTCAGATACAGACAGGAAGTTCAAGCTCTGAGGTGAAATGGGAGTAGAGAGGAGACATTGCTGGAACTGGCAGCAGAGGCGGTCATAAGATATTATAGTAGGGATTCACCAATATCGTTTTTTTGGTATCAAGTACGAGTACCAATGTTTTTTTTTTTTCCGTACTCGCCGATACCGGCATCCTGAGGTGCTGTGGACCCGGCTTATGAGGAAGCAAAGCGGCGGGTCATGACTGGCCCGAGAAAGAACACCGACTTCACATTCCATCGCGACACTGCCACAACCTGCCTCGCGGCTTCCTGATTGGCTAAGCAGCTGGCCCCGCTTGTTGCTAGGCAGTCTGGCTTCAGTTGGTGCTAGGCAGCCTGGCTTCCTGACCAATCTGGAAGCCGTGTGGCGAATAATGACCTGCTGCTCGGCTTCCCGATTGGTCAGGAAGCCAGGCTGCCTCGGGGTGTTGCTAGGCAAGTCATGACCCACCGCCCGGCTTCCTGATTGGCTGGGAAGCCGGCTTCATGCTGCCTAGCGACACTGCCAGTCAGAGAGAGGTCTCCCTCTGACCGGAAAGTTCCGGTATCGGGATAAGTACTCGCCCAAATGCTCCGCACCGGTACCAGCGCATCCCCTTTTTTAAAAAAAAAAACCTTCACTGAGCTGCCTAGCAGTTTGCAGAAACCAGATAATAGGCCTCTAAAGGTGTACTAGGAGGCGTGGCCAAAACTTGACGCGTTTTGCTTATAGGGCTTTGTACGACGTGGAGATTATTCCAAACAAATACATTTGTTCTGTATCAACTGTAGTTCTTCTGTTATCTCTGCTCTGTTCCTGAACACTTATTTGGTCCAGAGGGGGTGGAACTCTTAACTAAAGAGGGGAGGAGTCCCAGCTGGTTGGGACCTCATCATAGAACATCTGCTCCCTCAGACCTCCTGATCCAGATGGAATGTTGAGTGAAGTCATCTCACCCTCTCATATCTCTCCATCATGTGTCTCTATGTTTCCAGGACACGCCATGGAGGAACCCTCAAAGGATCCTCTGACTTTATCTCCAGGTTGTAAGATGGAAGATGAGGACATCACAGCAGATTGTGCGGGAGAAGAGACAATGAGCTCAGCTATGGATGGTGGACGTCACAGTGTGGATAGACCATGGGATCCCTCTGACTCTGAGCGACCTCGTCCTGTGAGGGATGGTGCCGGAATTCAGGGGAAGAAGACATTTTCCTGCCCTGAGTGTGGGAAAGGTTTTAGATCAGAATCAAGTCATACTGAACATCGGAGGTTTTCTTGATAAATCCGCGCTGGTCACACCTCAACTCTCACATAGGCGGTACAGGCCATGGCTGTGCTGAGGGTGGGGAATCTTTTCAACGTAAATATCGTATTTCTGTACAGCAGAAGGTCACTCGCAGGTCAAAAGATTGATTCATAGTAACATAGAAGGTAAGGTTCAATAAAGACCAGGGTCCATCCAGTTGAACTTGTGTGTCTGTATCTATCTGGCTCTGACACTTCCCATATCCCTGTCGATTCTGTGAAAGAAAAAAAACGTATCCAGAATTTATCTACGTTATCAGCGGATACCGCGGCCAGTGGAAGCGAATTCCACATTTTTACTACTCTCATCTAAGGCAAAAAATAAACTGTAAAATTTTAGCAGACTTTGCTTACGCCCCGAGTCTCAGTGATGTCAAAGATATACAGGCTAAATTTCAAGAAGATTGGATAATATTTAGGGGTTGCCCACTTTGATCCGTTTTGTAAAAGTAGGCAAAAAAATCAGATTTTTCCGATGTTCATTTTTTTTTTCATTTTCACTTTTATTGGGAAAACTGGAAATCGCAAACTTAAAATACTATTAAAACTGTACACTAAGTGCCAGAGCTTTGATCCCTCGACATTGGAATTCCACTGTCGCCCCATCGGTTTGCGGAATGGACAGCAGAGATGTGCCGCCTGATGAGATCTGAGGAGCTCGTTGCAGAAAGAGCTCTGGTACCTTTCTGACCAGGTGGACGCCATGGATCTTGTTCTTAGATACGGAGGAGTTCCGATCGTTGCGTTGAGTCTTCAGAGACCCCTCTAACACTCAGCACCGCTCGGTTCTCGTACGAAAAACCGATGGCATACGATTATCGTACGATAATCGTGCAGTGTATGGGCACCTTAACTCTCACCTTCTTCTCTTGTTTGTCTGTGGGGAATGTTAGTTGTGCAACGCCTTGGTCACTTTGTTTCCATGCCGACCGGGTGCCTGTTCCTTAGAATTGGCTCGCCTCCGATAGCAGGATGGCGGTCCAAGCTCTGCAAGG